TATCGTGACTAGACCGGCAAACAGGGGCTGCGAAGGAGACTTGCACATATCTCACGCGATCGTAAAAGAAATTGACCTCAGTACAGGAAGGTTCCACCCGTGACGTCACAGGAAAGATGGCGCAATTCAAGATGGCGAATGTTTCGAATTTGTAAGACCTTTTTCAAGGTGAAAATGGACTTTTGAGAAAAAAACGAATTGCACATTTGAAGTACTTGATATATTTGCTAAACAGCTACGTGAAAAGAAAATGTACGATTTMGGGTTTACAGGCCCTTTGATGCAAGTACTTGTTTGAAGCACACTTATGAACAGCTTACTGTAATGGACGTTTGCTTTGACGGATACGTACCCTCTCCCATTTTGAATTAACTTTGAGTCGAAATTTGCGGGATGGATATCTCAGATATTTCTTATAAATACAATTGGACCAGTCGCAAGCAGGGGCAAATATGCGATAAATTAGTGAACGATTAACTTTTTTCTAGCCTTTGCCTCTTCTCTATATCTACTTTGGCAACTTATTACTAAGGGGTTTGTTTCCAATTAACGACAATTTTCAATGAGAGCAACAAGAAAGTAAACTTTCATGTCACTTACATCTGCAATAAGGTAAGTAATGTTTACCAGAAATCTTCCAAACTGTATTTCTTACGTTATGCGAAGAGTAAAATTGTTGAAAGCGATTCCTTTGGTCAGTGTACTTTAAGTTTAGTAAGAATCAGCTGAGTTTCAAGAAGTTGGAAAAAAGGTTCATGCGTTTATCGTATTTCTTGGAATAAGCGCCCGGGTGCTTATCTAAACTTCGACAAAAAGAAGGGGCTCTTATTGGAAGGAGGGATCTTAATATTCTCCTGAACGGATTCCGCAGTAGTTGAAGCTTAAAAAGTTATAAATAAAGTGACAATAGAACAGGTTGTATCCCGGCATCCTTACGATTTGACATGGATCTGAACAAAGTGAGGGAGGAGCGAAGTGTTTAATCAAGAAGGGCGCTTGTTTTACATTTGTAATCTGGGTGGTAGGAGTCTATTCGGGGGAAAAGCTTCTAGAATTAGAACGTGGGCGATTATTCGAGGAAATGCGGTATTTCTTCCAAAAACAAACGGGCAAACAAGCGAAATTTTCAGACTTTTCAACCCAACTTAATGACATTTCGGGATCTAAAATAAATAATTTATTGTAATCATTATGTAAAATGCTGTGATAATTATTTCTTAAACTCGTACTCTCTATTTATCAAGAAATAATAAGTTCCATCGTTTTTAGTTCTTTCACAATCAATATTTTATGTATAAATAAATATAAAATAAATACATTTGTAAGGCTTTTTCATTAAATTAAAATTAACCGGATAACTTCATAAATAAAAGACGTTAATAAATACTTTACAATTTATCTGCAATAAATACAAGTTTTTAAGATAAACTATTTGGCAATTTTAGAATACGTTAGCAAATATTTACACTTAATTTAATGGCAATGTAACAATGTTCTCTGTTACAACTAATGTGGTAGTGTCAGTTATTTTATCTTTGAGGCAAAAAATGTGTGACTGTAGTTAATTTGATACTATTTGGAAGCAAATTTAGTTTCTTTTGAGAAAGAAAATAATTTGTCTCGAATATCGAATACTTTGTATAATTCAACTGAGTATACAAAAAATAACTTATATTTTTGGTAAGATATCTCAGATGCATGTTAACAACATTGTTTTCTGTTTCTCATATGGAAAGCTTTGTAAATTCAAATTTTTTAGGTAAATATATATATTCTTTTACAAAAGTGAGTTCGTAAGATATCGACAAATCCAAAACCATGGTCTCGCCGATGTAATAACTTCTTCTGTGACAATATAAATATATAATTTTTTTTAAATATACTTTAAATAATTTTTATGAATTTCAAATAAATAACCTAAAGACTCTAGGCAGAATTTCTGTTATACGGTGTATTCTATAAACTGCACTGATCTTTGCCCCTGATGCGCCTTTTTCGCTGATTTCGTTCTTCCATCTCTGGTGATCGCTAGGTACCAGTCTCTATTCAGTGTCGATCGGTACCGCGTGTAGCCCTTAGAGGTGTGTTCTTGTTGAAAGATGCAACCGATGTCTGTCTTCACTTGATGCGACGGCTGTAAAAGAACACAAGTGTTGTTAATGTCAGTACTTCAGGGGAGATGATCTTATCTGGTTTATGCACATTGTCAGTTTGGGAGGTGAGTCTTAGCCCGCGTTATGAGAAATTGACCATGGGAAACCTTCGTTCGGGTACAGTAACAGATATCTTTCCTCGTGGCGTGACAATCATCGAACGGAAATAAAAAGTTTTGTCCTATTGATTCATCTCTTTTCTGAAAGATACTGTCCATAACAGTTCTTAATAATTTTGCACTTTGGTAAATTCTATTTCGATCTTCGTTTCATGACAAGCTCGTGTCAAAAAGTTAATATGAAAATCTTGATTGCCTGCCCTTGCAATGTTGGCTAATTCTAAGGCCAGACGATATGATCCGTCTGGGTATCTTGTTATAATACTGTCAGACACCGACTTATGGTTCATTCAAGGCTAAGCGACCCTGTTTCAATCGATATTAAGCACTCAAGCAGACGATATGACTTTCTAGGTGGCTGTCTCACAATGATTGATCGTGGTCCGTTTTCATTGATAAGTTCATTGACACTTCCTTTGGGTTGGCCTTAGGGCGGGTGTTGTTCGCCCCCAGCCCATCCTCCTCGTTCATTCATCACGTATGTGCGTCCGTAAATGAAAGAACATTCTCGATCCGGGTACCTCCCTCCTCTGGACCCTCTATGTATTTATTGCATAGCTCCTGACTACACGTTTATCTGTTCTCGATGTTTAAAAAAAAGTCTATCGCTTGTGTGTGGTGGTTTAGCTTTCCCGTATCATTTTACGATCTCATCCAGTTCAGTATTGGTCCACAGATCTTGTTTAGTACTTCACGGAAGGTTTCTCTCTAAAACACCTTCCTGTCTGCGGTTATTCTTTCGAATGAAAGCTTTTGAACAGTTAACACGTGCTTTTCAGTCTAAACGAGGCAGGGTTTTTTTGAAATAAGTCGAACTTGAGTTGAACATTTCTGTTTTGCGTACATCCGTGACAAAAAGCGCAGTTCACGAATCTCATAGGGAGCTAATTAGAGACCCTGAACAAGTGATTTTTTGTGTCGAGGGCACTGTCAACACGGAATCAGTAATCCTTATAAGGTAATTTACGATTGTGTAATTTCCGTGAGGAATCCTCACCCATCTTGTGTTGGAACAGCCCCTAACTGTTTCCTATTGACATTGTTTCGCGCAGCATGTTTTAATATATCGCCAAATCATCCAAGTGAGTGGAGCCTGATTCTCTACGATAAGACCCTTAGCCCCGCCATAGGGGGTTACACCATAGGTTACAATACGATTAAGACAACAAGTCCCTTCACTAGACTCGCGATTACTATCTCCACTTCATCGATTGTACAATACAGCAATTCCTTTCCAGCGGAGAACTCTTGCTTGTTTCTATTGTACGACAAAGCTACCGTTACGCCAACAATTTGTGGCCATCACTCGGATTTCGTAAAAATTAAAATTTTAAGGACTTACTCTTGTGACGACCGCTCCGCTGCTGTCGAGACAAACGCAGACACTTCCATCGTGCGACTTCAATATCACCTTGCTCTCAGGTCCCACAGATTCTAGCCTCATCGTAACTGCAAAACAAAAGATAATATCGTGACAACCAAGCATAGCAAATTGAATGACTGCACGTTGATTTTGCAAGTCTGCTTTTTTGTCACGCTTTTGAGGAAAAATTGCACGCTAAGGAAAAAACCCCTTCGACTGCAACGAAATTTTTCAAATTTGTTGGAAGCAGAAGACGCACTTTTGTACAATTTAACAAAATTCATAGCAGAAATCAATTAATTATGGCGTCCTTTTATTTCTTAAATATAAGAAATTTGCGAAATCGTGTTTTGGTCAATAGTCGTCAAGTGTCACTTTAAAAACGGCGGTGATGTTTACATTCGAGGTCGCAGTTCGTGCAGTTTCGCTTGAAATCAGGCCTAATTTCTTCCGTGCTTAACGTTGATCTGGCGACAAAATACAATAAAGTTGTTCTTTGCCCTATTGTAATAGTTCATTATCCAGACAAAAAGTTCGGCGGAAAGAGAAATGAATCTAAAAGACTTACCGCTCGGATCATGTTTGTTTCCACTGCCGTCCACTTCATCGTGGTGAATTCGCACGAATTTCGCGCTGTTTCTGGAGTACAACCTCTTGTACATGAGGATTCTGACAACATTATGGACGTTATTAACCACATCTCCGGGATTGATTCCGCTATTTTCTAGCGCATTTGTTGTCTAAAAAAGAAAGTTTAATTCAATTACATCAGACCTACCAAGGCGATGTAGCTTTCGGCAAAGCGATACGATTTGCTCTGTGGTTTCGGTGAGCTTGAGGAATAAAGTGCGCAGGATATATCAGTTTGCTTTACAGTTCCTCAGATGCTATGCCGCCCAAATAACAATAACACAGCCACGCTAGGTAAACATCGCGTGGGCCTCGCGCGCGGCGGGTAATGAATTGGCGTGGGAGTTTCATAAGTTGATTTTGTGCCAATTATAATTTCTCGTGTTCTCTCGTCTTGATTCATTTAGAGTTTTAACAAAGTCGCTTAAATTGCCAAGAAAAACAGAATTCTCACATATCAGGAGGTTGACCTCTGACACCAAGATTTTATGATCTTCCAGCTACGTGGAATTAACCGGCGAAATTCCTAGTGGAATAATTGCTGTCACTCTTGCTTTATTGCCAGACTGATATTTCAGTTTAGTGGTTTTCTTGCGCCGAGAAGCAATAACAAAACTCTTCTAGATATGAATCTTACTGATATTGCTTAAATGACGTAAATTCTTTTATGGAAGTCAACTTGTTGCGGGTTTTGTTCACATGATGAGCGTCAGTAAAAAAATAATTATAGGAAAATTCACAAACAATTAATAGGTCATTTAACTATATTTAAAAAACGGTGATGGGAACGACCCCAACCAAAGGCTTAATAGAGCTTAAATTCAAGCTTGGAATTTTGGTTTTTTTAAACAAGGTATTTTGGACAAACGCTGTTTAGTTAACTTAGTCATGGCGTTTCAATATATAAGACGGACCGCCAGCGATTTTACACTAGAAAGATAAAAGTACTCACCGATGATGTTTTTCTGGTGGGTTTGGCAAAACATCTGCAAATTTGAACAAAGAGTACGCTTAAAATCTTGGAAGTCTTAGAATAAGCGGGATTCGAAGATGAAACTGTACGTTTGTACATGCTGTGTCAAATGGCTTACTCACGGGAATAGGCATAACACAGAGAGAACCAAAGCACGAAGTAGTTTCCTCGCCATTTAGATGTTGAGTTTGTATGAAATGTCACTTTCACGCGGCTACAAGTTCTTTTGTAAGTCAAGGCATCCAGGAGCTGTTGACCTTACAGATACAAGATATGATTAAGTTGTCTCGTTTGCCGATCCGGCTCTTTATAGGTCTTTAGACAATCCCCGACCGGACACGCGAGCCAGTTAAACTCATTGACAGACGTCGTCAAGTGGCAAGTCGGCATTCCGAACATTCCCCGATGGGAACCGACTGTTTCCCCACAAATAGTGAACAATCGATGGGGCTACCCCTCCCTGAAGTTGTCAGCGAATCACGTAATCCTACACAATGCTGACGCCGGATTTTCAAACGATCTTGGGGAGTTTTTAGCCTTATGTACGCGGAAAGTGAGGGATGTGTGGGAAGAAGACTATCGCTTGACACCCAACCACAGCAATAAGTACAAGTGACCAATTCAAATGATCTTAAAATACAGGGCAGTTTAACGTAAATCCATCAATGATCTTAACATAGCAATTTTTTTTTTTTTACCTTGGCAGCTCTCAAAAAATTTTCCGGGTTGATTAAGCATACTCATTGCGAAGCTGCTGACGTATAAGAAACAAGTTTTTAGCAGGAAACAGCGTCGTCGCTTACTAAACAAATTTTAACAGACATGTTTTGCTTAATTTAGTTTCCATCCGCTCCAAATTACGAAAGAGTTACAAAAATATCCTTCGAAGACAACGCCTTTGAAGCTTAGTTTACGCTTTTCCTTTCCAGAGGGAAAATCATCATTAATTGCTGTCGGTAAATGGAAGTTTTGGCTTTTATTTTCTCTCATGCAAGCTACGCTGCCAAGCATTATTGGAATTTACTCGGGTTATTTAAGCGGAAAATGTATGCAAACCTTCACACAACACAAACAATCATGTTCTCGTTAGTTCCAGAATTGTCTTGCAAACAGTGCAAGGATTAAATGTTTTTATTCTGATAAAAGAAAGGCGTAGGACCCGGCTCATTCAGCATTGCTGTAACTTAACGTAGCGCCGTTAAGGTGTTGCGGGGGTTTTCCCTGAGGAATTTAAGTCCTTATACTGCAACGCGAATAAAACAAGATGAAATTTATTCAAAAAGGTGATTAATTATAGTTGAATGACGAAATAAAGGATGTACAATAAGCCACTGAGTATAATAGTCTGTTAATTGTACAACCCTTTTTTGAAACCTTTCTGAGAAAGCTAATCAGCTCCGTGTAAGCCGTGGTTTGAGCGGTAGTTCTTGGGTATTATCAGGGGCCTTCTCGTTTAACTGCTAAAGCATGTATGTCCGGTGCTAGTGCTGTTCACCGGCTAAAACCCTGAAAATCATGTTATTCGTATGCCGAAATATTCTCATATGAAGTCACCGTTTTATTAGGATTCGACTGAATTTCCCACAAATATTTATTCGAGAACGAATCGCAAGAAAACGAAATTTTTTGTCTGCACCAATTCAAGAATTTTACATCATGAGCCATTAATACTGGTGCCTAAACATGTTTGGGTTGATCCGCGGTCAGCTTTTTTCAATCTTATATTTGCTACGTTGATTTTTAAAAGTAAATCTGGCCGGAATTATTTTGAGTGTCCTTTATATAGGTTTATCGATAAAGTTGTTTGATCGTAAATGATGTCATTGAGTTGCACAACATGCACTTAGATGGGAATAAACTTGTCATTAGATCAGTGGGAACAGTGCTATTAAAATGCATCGAAATTCACCGCCGAAGAATGCCGATAATTGCTACAAGATTGAACATTTATGTCTGGCTGAGCTCTTTTTTTTTTTTTTTTTTGTCAAGCTTCCGGTAATTTTCAATTCAAATGACGAAATGAAATATTTACCAGTTTATTCCAGAGTTTCGGAGTGTCCTTGCAATTAAAACTGCTCCGCAGAAAATTTCATGTCTTCTTTCAGACATTCTAAAGAAATGAAACTGAAAAAAGGTCTGCTGACTCGCTTTGGAAATTAATTCAAATGACATTTTCCACGGCGCCACTGCCGTTTTTCAGGACTGTAACAAAACAACAAAATGCCTGAGAAGCAAAACGAATTTTTGAAACTTTCACAGGTATTACACGTAATTCTTCGCCAAGTTGGAGCCTTTCCGCGTTTCCTTCTTCGCTAGAGACTCTGTGGCTGAGAGAACAAAGGGCCTTTGGTTAACACCTATTGTCCGAACCATTTGTTGAACTTGTTTGTGACAGCCGGAAACACGCTCTCTAACAACTCAATACTACTTAAATAAAATTCAAAGGTCTGCAGAGCCTGAGGAAATATTTTAGATGAATGCGGTTTGGGTTCGTTCGGATAGTTTGCAAATGGGGCATACATTAGCGTTAAAACAATGCCGGCAACAGATCAAGACATTTGTTCAAAACGTGTTGTAAACAAACTCCTAAACCAAACTGCCCCTCAGTTGGCATTTTCAGTTGAATTTTTGAGTGTAGCACGTCGCAATTATGCCATTAAAAAATTTTAAGCTCACAAATGCTGGAGATTAAAGCTTAGGAAAATCGGCAACTCGAGCTTGCAAGAGTTAAGTTTTGACACTTCTTACTGAATAGAGTTACAGAGCACATAGAGGTCATTAGAAATACAAATCTCTGAGCTGAAAGCATACTGTTGGCTTACAAGCAAAAAACCATTAATCAGCTTGTTTTGTAAAAGGCATTAATAAGTATTCACACTTGTAGTCTTTGTTCAGGTCCCTATCTTGGATAATCGGATTAATCTCCCCAGTCGCGTGCTCGGCAGCAGTAATTCATCAGGACTCGTGTAACAATACGACAAGAACTTATTTAACACGTACAGAAAAAAATCTAATGGGTGGCTATAAACATCATAAGTATTTAGCATTGCTCCTAGAGCAGTGACTGAATATGACGCTACAACGTTCCGAGTGGAATGTTTTTGGTCACATTGAATACTCAGGTAGCGGACAAGTGAAGTTGCAAGTTAGGAAAAACCAGAGACTGCAATTCACAGACCAATGATGCTTTAAAATCGTCACAATCACTGTTCTTTACATTTTCACAAATAAACGTTTTGCAAGAACAAGCAACGTAGCATGTATAATTTTTCATGTCGTTACAACTGACTCAAAATACTGGCACGAGGAAACAACTTTAATTGTTGAATATTAAGCAATAACAGAGCACAATCATCTTTCAAGTGTGACACATGGATCATTATTCAACTTAATTCTCAAAGACTCAAATTTCTTGGACATCAGCCCTTTTGTGAACAATCTAAATCCCATGACAAAATAAAAAAGCTTTGAAAGAGAACAAAGAAATGCGATTGGGGTTTGTCGATTTTTCAAGGAGAAAAAACAGGCCTATAGTCCAGTTCAGAAGTCAAAGTAGACTTTGCTGACGGTGCTACTAACTTATTATAGCAATTAAATTACTCTTAAATCCTCAAAGGATTAATTGACGTCAATTACTGAAAATATTGTTGTTGCTTATTATTTAAACGAGCCACCAAGCTAAGAAAAATGTCAAGTACTAACTAAAAAAAAAATCGAAATCAAAAGGTGTGCACAAATTAGGATTAAAACTAACAAAATTAAGATTTTCCCTTGTGCTTCAGATGAATTTATCAACCAAATCTACAGGAACTCAAGGTATTGACATCGACTTTAAGTTACTTTCACCTTAAAGTTCTACTTTTGCGTCAGCCGAGATTAGCTATTGCCAACTTATCCTTACGAATCACGTATATTGTAAAAGGACTTTTTTGGGGCGTGCAGAAAGAGTACAAATGATTATCGTAGACTTGTGTTCCAGGCCTCGGCCCACGAACCCGCCCTTTCACTTCCTTCTCAAAGACGAGTTTTATCTAGAAATCTGTTTTGAGCCCCTTTATATACGTAATGGAAACTTTATTCACCGCCTAAGCCACTTCTACACTGATGTAAATGATAAGAGAGTGAATGATGCCCAATTCGGAAATGATTGCACGTAAAAAATTGCAGGGCCCGCCAAAATAAACCGAGGCCTTTTATCATACGTGTACTTTTAAATATTGTTAATTGGAGTTGTTCAATTTCGTCAATGGAGGACAATATTGTACTCGAAACTGTCCGAAGTAAATGTCAAAATCGTGATGTTACAGGCCTCTCGAGTGATTGATATGATAGCCTCGGGAATGATATCACAAAACGTTTGTTTTTTTCTTGGATTTCGCCGGGCTTACGTTAGGTTGATGATATCATAACATTTTTAATCCACCACAATTTTTAATTTAAGCCCTTCCAGCAACTTTGTCGTTTTACTTCCTTTCCGTTCGGAAGTTACGCACTTTTCAAATAAACACGTAAAGAAAAATTTATATAAAGATTAGACAACAAGCAATATATATATTTTTCGCTTGATCATGTTCGAAAATAATCTACGGAAAATAACCAATTTGATACCTACGTCATATCTGACTTGAATGACGTTTCACCAAGTTTCCCAAAACCAACAGTATCGACTCAAACACAACAACTAAATTAAACAACTACTTCGAAAAAGATTTCATTTTCTTTTTAGTGCGGAATTGTACAGTTGCCACTGAAAGTCTCTTTGACAGCTAATGCGATGATGACACGGAAGGCCTTACTAAGAATTTAGACACCTCAGACTTGTCAACTCTACAAATTTGCAGTTACCAAAGAAACGCGGAAAAAATACGAAACGCTAGAACGCAAAACCTGCGGTTGCCTAATTTGGTCTACAGTAGTAAAGACAACTGTAAGAAATTTAGGCCGATTCGAACAGATATAGGCCTTTAGGACATGTTTTAAGAGGGCTCTATTAAGGATACTGTACGGAAATACACGAAACATAACGGACTTCGCGAAAGCCCCAAAATAACGAAAGTTTTCAAATTGTTTTTGATTTAATTAAGTACTGAGAAGAAAACCTAAAAATGAAAAAAATTGATTTTGATTGAATTCGATCTAAGCTGCCTTTCGTTCCTTCGTTTTGGGTTGATATTTAACGGCGAACAACCTTAAGACGTCTGGTTATTTGTGACGGTTTTACGTATTTGTCGGCTAGTTTACCTAAATGATATTCACTGCGTCAGG